TAGATGATATTCACTCCTACCAATTAGGTCTTTTTATGTTCTCCATTGAAAACAGGATTCTTCCAAGCACTTTTCTTCATATGTTCACCAAAAACTCTAAATTTCATTCCTATCCTACAAGACGCTGTAATGACTTTAGACCTGAGCTTTGCAGAACGAATATTAGACTGTTTACTGTAGCCTATCAAGGGCCTAAAATATGGAATTCTTTGCCCTCCAAATTAAAATCTGCCTCCTCCTTGGCAAGTTTTAAATTGAATCTAAAGGAGCATCTTATAAGTTGCCAGTCCTAACTGCATTGAATTTAAATCCTCTATTTAAGTTTAATCAGTAACAAACTGAACTAGCTCTGTAAGTTACTGATTAACTTTTATCATGCAATAGCAAATAATATTGTCATATAAGTAATTTTAATTTGTATTCATAATTTAATTTCATATAAATGTAATCTATCAAACATTTAACATATATATTGTACACATTCTTAATTAATCTACATCTTATCTTGTCCAGCTTTTGTAAACATCTTGCCTTTGTGCTGCCCCTCCAATTATTGTATTATACTTTGATACTCTCTCTTGTAATCAAATAGGTAGCTCAAAAATATAAGCCTTTGGTTTCCTTTTGAGTTGCCTACCATCCAAGAGTACCTTTATTTTGATCAATTTAAAAAAATATATTTCAACTTGAATTATCACACGTTAAGCTATTATATTGTAATATATCCTGTATTCTTGTGTGGTCGAAATGAATAATAAATGATGATGATGATGATGACTTGTTAATCTGTCTATATATAACAAAAGTATCAAAAGCTCCTCTTTGTAAAACATAAGTAATTCGGTAATCTTAAAGCACATTCGCTGCTTCATATGTTTATATATCAAACCGTAAGGACAGCCAATACCCATCATGAACGATACCAAAGCCAACGTAAGTTCTGCATTCAAATACTGCAGATACAATGAACCTGACAGCGAACTGGAGGTTGATATTAAACGCATTTCCTTGATACTTCTGATTACATTGGGACTTGCAGGAAACATCTTTGTCATAGTGCTCGCTATGAAATACACAGTACGCAAGAACCTGCATCATTTGATCATCAACATGGCCGTGTCAGATGCCCTCTACCTTCTTATAACGGTAATACTGGACATTGAATCGCGCAAAACATTGTTTTCAACATATCTAGATGGTATCCTGGGTAATATTCTCTGCAAGGCTTTTGCATTTTTTCGAGATGTTACATATAAAGTGTCCTTGCTTACTCTTTTGATAATCAGCATCGAACGATTCAGAGCAACGCAAAAAGCAGTAGTGCAGTGGCAAGGTACTAACATACAGCGCGTTTTAGTACTTGGAGTGTGCTGGCTTATTCCTATGGCTGTGGTTTYCTACATGTTTTATTATGTGCGACGAGGTCAAGACGGAATTTGTGTTTATCTTAGCAAAGACTTATTTCACCTTTTCAACTTGATATCGGTCCTTTCAGACGTTCTAATTGTGATAATAGTATTTACTCTTGGTATTTTGACAATAAGACGATTGTCCAGACCTCTTGCCATTCACGCCCATCTCAACCAAGAGCAGCGAAAAGCTCGAGTTCGCCGAACACAAGCAGCCGTACGAATGGTTCTCGCTTCTTTACTTCTGTATGCGAGTTGTTGGCTTCCAATGTTTGCTTATACAAGTTTCTACAATATCTATTATTCTTCGTATTCTTCTGTGACACAAACTGTTTGTATAGACTGGATGTCACTCTGGTATATCATAGTCAAATTCTTGCCCCATTTGAACTGTTCATTCAGTCCGTTTATTTATATCATATTTCTTTCTGACYTTCGAGAAGRWKCAAGGAAGATGCTGTGTAGAAAAACGGAAAGACGCGAGAACAGAATAAACGCAATGGAACTGCAGTCATAGCCAAATACACCAATAGGGCTGAAGGGAGAACGAGACGTTCCCATTAAGAGCATGCTCGCATGTATGTTCGTTATAGCTCTCAAAAAATTAGACGCCCTTTTTTCCAATGTCAACAGAACCTCGGACGTTACCATTCCATCTGTTCGAAATTTTCGACTTTTCATACCATGAAGTTGTTTGGATTTTTTTTCGACGGAAACTTGTTTTTTTATTGCCTTGTCAACTTGCCTTCCTTTTTTAAATTTTTGTTATCATTGGGACAACTTTTCAAGACTTAGATTGATAGTACGTGGCCTACTTTGTACATGACGGAGAAATGGCCAAACCTAATTGCAATAATTACTTGCAAAGTAGATTACAGATCCATGAAAAATTTCGCAAGGATTCTGTATTCCTTCATACTGGATTAAGAATGCAAGACATCTTAGATATTAGGAAACATTTTAGGAAACATTTGATGTAAGTAAATTGGATACTGGATCTCGCTTGTCTTATCGGATTCCGTTTCTATTGCAGCGAATTCAGCAGTATTCCAGAGTCAAAATTTTGTCATGAGGCGATTGATTATTTAATTGATGACATCAGTCAGTACTTTGACATTATTTGTAGATCAGAATTATGAAAATTAAAACCTGTTGACTTTATATTTATTGCCGTTATATTTATAAATTTT